ACTTTTGTCCACGATAACGGAATTATCTTAACAGCAATCTACATCGTTTCCACAGAATTTCCTCTATCTTGGACATCCTTGCTGACATATTCGAACTTTCTACTTCCTTATATTCACTGCATGGCAATTCGAGGTGTACCCTTCCTTCATGTGTCGTTGTCGAATTGTTTCCATCATTGCGTAGTTTTACTCTTGCTATCTAGAAGGCGGTGCAGACTCTCGCTGTTGAGTAGCATCTTAGGCTCGAAGGAAACTGAACGAGCAGGGCACCTACAACATATCTAAACAAGGTTACCATTGTATAAATAGAATATTGATTATTCGCAAGAGACAAAAACTTCCTTTCATGAACTACAGCTGCACATCATCGCCCTTTTGAATTTCGGAACATCACCGCAGAACCGCCGTTCCTCCTCTCTATCTAGACCCCAATCTTCGGCAAAAGGCTTCAGCGCCATTTGCATCACTTGTCCAAGTATATCTCGGTCCCCCTTGTGCTCCACGCGGTCAATGACCTCGTCAAGTATCCAGCCACGTGGTAGGAACTATGTGATACTCAAGTCAGCGGACAACCACAATATTCCAAATATCTCGATTCTCACTCCCGAGAGAAACATACGCTTGGATTTACCGATTTCATTGACGTTTGCCTCGCTACATCATTGTCCGTGTCCCAGTCTTCCAAGACGCGAGTTCTCCATATTTCAAGCCAGTGTGCAATGCGTTCTTTAGCTGCTGCTTCTGTTAAGCTGACATTGTCAAATCCCTCATTATGGAAGAATATCGACGCCATTTCCGTTCTTTGAACTGATGTCTCGATATCTGAAAGTGGAATGTTCGAAAGTCTCCTGAAAAAATGGTTAAAATCCAACTCCAATGCTTCCATCATGTCAAGCATTTCTGAAAACAAATCCTGGAAATCTGTCTCTTTCTCCGTTTGAAGGCCCAACCTCCCTCTCATAAGTTGCTTGTATTCACTCAGGAATACAGCCCTGAATTCCTTGCCTGTTTGTTCAATGAGTTTTTCGGCACGTTCGACTACGGCCGGTGCAGAGGTCTCAGTCAGTCCTTCTTTCACAAACTCTTCATGATCCACTCGGTCACCTGCCCCCATAAGTTCCCCGAGGGATTCACCAAGTCTGACCAGATTCCACCAGATGATACTAGGCTGATTCTTATAAGAATATCTCAGTAGGTGGTCGTCGTGATTTGGCGTGTAGTGGGGATCAAAGTTATCCATAAATGCAAAAGGGCCAAAGTCCATCGACAAGCCGCAAATCGAGGTGTTGTCCGTATTTAGAACACCGTTCATGAAGCCATAGGCTTGCCAGGCAGCAACGGTCTTAGCGTTGCGGCGTGCAATCTCTCGATAAAGCCTCGTGAACCTGTTTTCTTGCAAACCTTGATGTTCCTCTACTTCGTTTTTTGGAGTATTCCCGGATGTGCTATCCATGGCAGGCGAGGATTGACCATTATTTGAGTACGTAATAGAAGGGAGAGTCTCCCATCCATGGAAAACTTCTTCGGCGACATATGTCGCCAGCTTTCGAATCAGGTCACGGTCTCCACGTGCACGCAATAGATCAAAAGTGCCAATACGGAGCCAAGATTCTGCAAATCGAGTTACAACAGCTCCCGGTTCAATGCGCTCCCGCAGCACTTTCGATCGCGGCAATAAAGTAATGGCTAAGGCCCGGGTCGTTGGAATACCGAGTGCCGAAAGAGCTTAAGGAGGAATTAGTTTCCGCCAGTATAGCATTTCTTTGGGGAACCACCTTCAGAGACAATGTATTCTCGGATGCTCGACCGAAGCACGGCTTTGCCATCAGCGAAGCGTGAGTAGGGCGTCCGTCCAGCTCCTTTCAATTGCAGCTCATAACGAATGTTCGTGTATGGGTTAGAGCTCTCAAAGAGGCTTATAGCGCGCTGCTCAATGTCAATTCAATACATATATTAGGTTCAATTGCGGCCAGGTGCCACGCACCCCGTCCCCTAGTTGACCAGCCCATGAGCCACTACCATTTGTCAGTAGGATGCATAGGGCTACCAATCCACGAATCCTGTAACGTACAATTGCCACCCTTCAAAATGTTATTCAGTTGCCTTCCATGATTGCTATATGTGAAAACGGTGTGAGTGTGGCATGACTTACCTCCATAGCATTGTGCCCAAGGATATATTCCACCCTTAGATTGGTCCCATGGAAATTCATTTCCGGAAACCAGGGCATGGAATTCTTGTGTTGTTGCTTCACTAGCTGCGAGTCCAAGATCGTCCAAGGCTTTCGGGCTTACCCCCAGAATCTCATACTCCTCTGCTGGCTCGGGCCTCACAAACGTGTAAAGCGCACCTCTTACTAAGCGCGGTCCCAGAGCCTCACGAGGAGCTCGATGCGATATTTCCGGTGTTTCAAACGCAGGGTCGGCAGGAAGCTTGGATGTGAAGACACTGGACTTGAAAAGCTCGCGCAGCGAAAGCCCTTCGCCGGATTTCTGCAATGATGAAGCCATGTGGTGAAAACGCCTAGTAGGCATCCACAACCCTGTACGCACTCTGCGGAAGAATGCTAACTTAACGTAGGGATATGCCAGGCGAGCATTGATGGTGACCATGAGAGTTGTGGTGCGGACTGCTCATCAAGAGTGAGCTGATACGAGCTTCTATATTGTGTCTCATTCGGAAACTTCTTATAGGTAATGATGAGATCTTGTAATGTCTGCGGAGTAACTTAGCGCCTCTCCGCTAAGGTTCGGAAACTTGACCGCATATCTAAAGATGACGTCAACCCTTCAGACTCCTCATACGTGCTTACTATATATGAGTAGTTTGGGGTTTTTTTTTCTGGAAGGTCTATACATTGATTTACTTTCACAAATCACAGCTCTTGATTGATAGCATACGTATGCCCAATGTCGTCCACAGCCCGGAACTTTCCCTTTGTCAGATTGAGTGATGGGATAAACATTCCACTGGTAAGTTGCTCCATGCCTTTCTCTCCGTCGCGTGTCTCGACACCTCTTTTTACCGGCAGTGTCTTCCGGCTCATTAAATACTAATGATCATAACAGCTTGGGTACGGCAGTGGGACTGCCTGGTATAAGAAGGCAACGGATGAGAGTATAGATCGCGAACTTGTCGATTCCATAAAAACGGCTATTCGATTGGGATACCGTCACCTTGATGGGGCTGAGGTCTATGGTACGGAGCCTGAGATGGGTCTTGCCATCAAAGAAAGTGGCGTTGATCGGGAAGACCTATTTGTGACGACGAAGGTGAATACCAACATCGCTGACATCCCGGGGGCCATCGATCTGAGTCTTCGGAAGCTCCAACTCAGCTACGTCGATTTGTAAGTATACCGTACCTAGATCCGTTACATTAAACCCGTGAAGTATTTATGGGCGAGATAAAGATACTTGATCCATTCGCCGTTCTTTGCCGAGTCCGATGGTGATCTACAGACAGCTTGGGCTGCCATGGAACGGGTCAAGGCCGCTGGCAAAGCCCGGTCCATAGGAGTTTCCAATTTTCTCCAGGAGCACCTTGAAGCCATCTTGGGTACAGCCACAACGCCTCCATCGATCAACCAGGTCGAGTTCCATCCTTACCTTCAACATGGTAGTTTGCTAGAATTTCATCGAGACAGAGGGATTACAACTGCTAGCTATGGTCCCTTAACTCCGATCAATCGCGCCAGGGGCGGTCCCCTTGATCAGATGTTGTCCGGTCTGGCCAAAAAGTATGCGGTCACTGAGGGAGAGATCTTGTTGAGATGGGTTATGGATTGTGGTTCCGTGGCAATTACGACCAGTAGTAAAGAATCCCGCCTGAGCAGCTACTTGCGTGCACTTGCCTTCGAGTTGACACCCAAGGAAGTTAACGAAGTGTCCAGACTAGGCCAGCAGGCGCATTTTCGAGCGTTCTGGCGGAATAATTTCTCTCCTTCCGACCGCTCATAGTGGTCTTTATGTATTTGTACAGTGTGCACGAGGTTAAACGGTAACCTCCTGCCAATGAATCTGATTTCAACTGGCCTGTACGGAGTACCTTTGCCAAGGACTCCACAAACATCTACATAAGTTAGGGTCTGCGTTGAGAGTTCGGACAGAAAGGAAAGATCATGGAAAGCGAAGGTTTCAAGAAAATACAACAAGGAATTGATGGCAAACAAGAAGTCGATATCTCAATAATTCTTGTGAATTAGAGCCGAGAACTGATTTAGGTACTGGTTGTTATACGGACGGAGTACGGAGAGTACTGCACCATACACCCTCCGCGCGCCCATCAAGTTACTGCCAAGCGGCTCCGCTTAGAACCCGGCCGGAGCATTGACCTAACCTATTACTGAACAACAAACTCCGTTCGGCTCATCTTCGACATTAACCCTCTACTCCCCTTTCGCTGTTAGCCTAGGGACATCTATTATCCTAATTATTGGGCTTGGGGTTCCTTTTCTATCCTTATGGCCAGATACTACAGCCATAGGTTCGGCATTGGCTTGGGCGCTCGATAGTGCAGTATATTAGGCATCGGCTTCTAGTCGGCAATCCACCTCGTGTCCAGGGCAGCCGAAACTCCTGAAAATTCATCTGCATAGAGGAAGTATTACTACTGTGGACCGCAGGGTCTGTGACTGAATATTCTTGAACAGGCTCTGCCACGGTAGCTGGCTATGCGCGGCTGAAGGGGACGCCGGGATTTCGAAGGAGACCCAAGGATCAGATCAAGGCGTGGGGCACTATATAGATCGATCACGAACTGATGAGAAGCTAACCGGAATCACGACACCAGACCGAATGCGATAACGCTGCTTGGATGTTCAACACCATTGGAATCCAGATCGCAAATAACACATGCAAACGCACAGCCATCTCAAAGAAGCCAGCAAAGAAGGGTGTTGGAGCTAGGAAGCTCAAGTGTGGGTGGAGACCTTCTTACAAGGAATTGCATGCTTGCTTTAGCTGCTGTCAATCTCCCACACATCCATTTGACGGACTGCCATGTCTGGAGAGCATTTTCGTCGCCCCGCGAACGCCGAATCGAGAGGAACCAAGAAAGCGAGCGAACACAGATCCAATATAGATCAAGACTCCATTGATCGGCGATTGAAGCGACTTAAAGATCAAGTCCTTCCACTTTACCCCTTCCTCCTTACTGTCCCGACTGATGTGCCTTTCCGTCTTGGAGGGCGCTTTGTCAACAACTGGGCGGTGAGTGATGACGGCCCTTTCACGCCAGAGGAACAGCAACTCCAATACATGACTTTTTTGACTCATCACGACGAAGAATCCTTGTTAGCCGCTGTGGGCGATTGGTCTGACAGTGCAGGAAACGTGATGTCTGATCAGCAATCCGGGCCTCAGAGTGCAGCAAGCACACCATCTTATAGTTCCCTGAAGAAGAAAATAAGCCTAAATGATTACAAAAACAGGAGAAAGTCAGCCGCACCTTCTGGCTCCCCTGTCAATCAAGAAGCCCCTTTCCAATCATCGACCGCTCAAACGCTCAATGGAAGCCAATCAACCAATAAAGCCAGTGGTTTCGTTGACGATATACAGGGATCGGTAGACAGGGCGGCTCCAGGGAACGTGCAATCCTCGCCTGGTGACAAGAATATGGATCGCAAACATCCGTTTGAAGCCGATAATGAGCCAATGAAATCAACTGGGAAGGGCCATGTCTCCTTTAAAAAAACCAAATTGTCTACTGATCCTACAGTAGAACCCACCAAAGTGGGACGACTACGGAGCAATGGACTTCCTGCTCTCCTATCACCGACTTTGCCCCCAGTCTCAAGCAGCCCGAGACTGCCTCGACTTCTATCTCCAACACTTCCACCGGATCTGGAGAAAGAGTTGTCGATGCAAAATGTGGATTCTGTGTCTTTAGACTCCTTGCAGCGCCCAGATGTGTCAAATATTGATGCTTCGAATTTGCAGAAAGCCAAACCTGCTGTTCGTGGCTTTACCCACATGAGCTTGTCACCCATTTCCAGCCGGCAAAACAAAATATTGAACCCTGGTTCCATTAGAAGATCGAGTGTCCTTCAAGAACCTTCGGACGTTGGTTCATCTAGAACTACAACTACAAAAGTTGGCTCCCAACACCTACCCAAGGACGCTGTAATGAATTCAGTGGATACACGAACGAGTTACCACTCAAGTCATGCCAGAACGAAGTTTATCGTCAGATTGAGGTATGGCAGAGCGAACAGGAAGCGCGTTGAAGCCCTTCTAAAGTTCTCCGGTAAGAGGAAGATAGGTACATCAAGCTCACCCGTAAGAAGTGTTGATATTTCTCATGCTACAATATCTGGACAGGCTGTAGCGAAGGCTACAGCATCTGAGCGTGCAGAGAATGGCAGCAAGTTATCTCGCAACGATTTTAAAGTCAAAAATGACACGGCAAATATGTCTTCGAAAGAATGCTCGAAAGAGTCAAAACCCCCTATTATTATTGATCAGCCCCAGTCACCCAAATTTCCGAGCCCGCATACCAAACAGCTCCTGCAGGATAGGTCAAAGCAGATGCAGTCAACGTCAGGCAAAAGTTCCAGCTGTTCTGGTCAATATGAAGTGCCTGGAGGTACTGGCGAGAGAATGCCCATCCAATCCGGTGTGAAACATACAGCAGAGTGGCCGACACCTACCAAACCACCATCTCCTCAAACAGGTAGCGCTGCATCTCGGCAATGTGAGCGTCGGGCGTGGAAGGAGCAATACCAGAAATATGGGAACCTTGGCCGAGAACTGAAGCATGCCGCGGAACGTCATACAGCTAAAGATAACGCGACTGTTCTCGATGAAAAACTCGCGGTTGCCACGGCTGTGGAAGCTATCATATGCTTCATCCTGGCTTTTGTCGCAGATGACCACTTCAAGGCTCTAAGTCGCCAAGTGGCCGATTCTTCTTCATGGCTGTCCATTCTTGCCTATTGGCGCGTGGTGAAGAAAAACAGTGCACCCTATCCCCGATTGCACAGCCTATGTCTCATGCTTGGTGCTGTCTCGTATGATGCAATCCATGCACTTGATTTGGAAAGACTTGCAGTTACAGCTGTACCTGAAGAGCATACTGCTATTTCTACATTGGGCAGCGACGGGACAGCGGTTGCACTGGACGAGTATAGGAAAGCCCGAAGGGAATTCAACGAGCTGAAGCATCGACTGCCTGAGTGTTACCGAGAGTCTCAAAAGCTATGGCTGGAGGGCTCACGCGGTCTTTCTGAGAACGTCCTTGCTAGTGAATTCCCTGCCACATGGTCCAATCGATCAAAGAATTTCTCGGAGCAGGGGAAGCCACTTTCAAAAGCTGGTGACTTATCCATCGAGTACTTTCTTCCGTTGAGAAAAACCAGTACACCTTCGGAGATTATCAAATTCAGTTGCGCAATTTTGAAAGAGTGGTGCACGAAGGAAGGCATTGGGTGGCGCAGTAGACTTGATGCTTAGCTCAGCTGGATTTTAATTGCTCGATATCCCCTTTGCATCTTCCACCTTGGCTTTTGAGCGCTCTGAGGTGGTATGCAGGAGCTTGCTGCCAATTCTTCTTTTATGATACCAACCTACCTTGTCATGTGTCCGAGTTGCACCTCTTTGCCCTTTTCTAGATCATGATCTACTCCCAACAATTGTGACTGTGCTTTACCTTGGCATCCCCACATCTAGTGCACACGTAGTAAGAGAGCTATTCAACCCTTATAGAATAAAACTACCATAAGAATTACCGTGCCATTTCTTGTCCTCTTCGTTGCACTGCTTTCAGCTGTGGTTCACTCCTAGCCCTATGTTTTGAGATTAATATTGGTACGGTTCGTGATGGTTAGTATAAATTACTAAAGACAGCACAATGAAATTTGCAAATCTATGCGATAAATCCGAGAGAGAAAATTTACTAAGAAGCAGGACAGTGCACGGGAAGTGGAGATAGCAGAATTATATGACTGTAACAAGATTGCACAATATGATATAAAACAAACACAAAGTACCAGGTAAGTCAGTTTATGGAAATCACTTCTTATCTGCGACTGTCTAAGATGACCGAGGTACCACGAGGAAGGACATGTTGGTATCATATGTACCACATGATTATCGCATATAAATGTTTTGGATGACCTGTGCCCCGCACGCAGAATTGTATGAGGTCAGTGGATCATGGTTCGCTAGAAACTGTATAGCTGACCGAGGGAATAGGTTCTTGGCCAAAGAGCCAGCCAGCTTCCCGACAATATCTGGCCTCCCGTCCATAGGTACCAACTTCACTGCTCCAGCAGATGACAGACGCATCGACAATATCAGCAATGACACTCTCGACGGCTCCCAAGATACTCCAGCCAATCGCTCCAGCAATCAACCCTATCATGTAGGCATAGAGACTCCCATGAGTCGCGCCATTTTCACTGGGCACGCGGAAGTTCCGCGCAGTACTAACCCAGCCTCCGAAACCAAGAGCGAGTGACATCATAAGGCGAGCAGCATGAAGGATAAGTTTAGATAGCCGGTATGAGACAAGGGGTGCGCAGTGTTCGCGAGACCAAGTAAATGACCGTGGATGCAAAGGTGTCATGGCTGCTGATGGCGCCAGATTTGTCATCTGCATCAGACCACGGGCTGATACAGCAAGTGGCTGAGAATGAATTGCAGCATAAGTGAGGGCAAGAGGATTTGTGATAACGGCCAATGGAGTCGGAACAAGGGAGTAGGCACAAAGACTAAAAATAGAGGAGATCCGGTTAGGGAGCAGCAGAAGTGGAAGCCGAATTAGCAAGACCAGAAGGCTAGACAAGCAAGCTGTGCCAAAAGATGTTGTGAGGCAATGATACGCGGCGGCTTGTATGATCTGTCTGGATGTTGGAGCGGGAGTACTGAATCTGTGAAAATACCACTGACTCACTGTTGCAGCTGTGATCGTACGTTGAATACCAGAGATGACTCCCAGAGACCACAGGTAGATCAGTACATAATAGGCTCCTAACCACCAACTGCTCGGATCCATAAAAACAAGCACAGATCCTGAGGTGTGTCCCGTTAGAAACACGCGTGTGAACATGAGCATCCAACCCCACGTCCACACGACAATGAGCAAAAGGACACCCAAGCCAAGAACCAGAAGCTCGATATTTGCGGCAAGGATGCGGCAGGCAAATTCCAGTATGCCCACAGCTCGGCCTATAGCACGACGGCTGCGAATGATGTTATAGATCCAAGCACTGGCTATCACGAAAGGAATAGCTGACCCCCATCTCATGACTTTGTCTTGGATGCTCGACCCATGCCAGGCGCCACGAAAACTCGAGATGAAAGGATAGAGTGAGAAGGAATACAAAATGGCCGGTACGACGAATATGATAACATAGACTAGGACGCGTACATATGACCGTAGCAATGCGAGCCAAAGCAGAGATATAGATATCGAGACCAGAGTAAAAATTGCCAACCTGAAGAACGAGTTGTGGATAGTCGAGTATACTGCATCGCCCAATTTAGGTAGGTCAGAGGGTGGAGAAGTATGAAGATAAATAAGGAACGAAGTAGCAAAGAGGCAAGCGATGGATATCAAAAATAGTTGGCCCCAGAAAGCGTCATAGACAGGTGAGCCGACCGTAACCGATACGATCGACTCTTGGTATGAAGCTGGTGAGCTCTCACCTTGGAAGAGCGCCGGCGCCTCGGCGTTGTCTGGCCCTGGTGGCAGGGTGGATGAACCTATTCCAAGTCTATTCATTCGAGGCCCAGATTTTTCCCGAAATCGCTGGATCGAGGGCGGGGTGTCATCACCTAATTCCGGAGGCGTAGCTTCCTCGAAATGGGCGTCCGGTATAACTGTGTCCTCCAAGCGAACATCAACGAGATTCTCGCCTCTTTGGAAGCTCATCCGTTTCGTTTGTAATTCCTCTCTAGGCTCAGCGGACAGGCCGTTGTTGAAGATCTGTGGATTTGGTGCATTATCGTCAAGACTGCCTTCGCGCCATGAGCTCCAAATACCCTTGCCCTTGGAGACTGTCCGAGTGAGTTGTTGCGGCACGGATTCTTCTGGGCTGGAAAGGAATCTACCGTCTTCATCATTTTCTGAAGAGTCCATCAGATGGTTGATGCCAAAATGTCGTCGTGATTTCTGCAAGGCATAGAAATCTGCAATTTCCCGCTCGTGTTCGGTTTCATCGTCCTCCTCTCGGAATTCATCTGTGGCACTATAGAACAAAGGCACTTGGTGAACCGGATTACGCGAGCCCAGAGCAAGATTGGAAAATTGCGAGGCGGCTGTTTGATACGGATCAACGGCCGCTCGCTGTAAAAAGGACCGTGACGAAAGAGATCGTGGATTTCCTGGCGGCTGAATCAAGCGTTCTTGGCCTTTTCGGCGGGCATCGTCGTAATGAACTACCAACCGGGACTGCGATTGTGCGAGGAATCGAGAGGCGTCTGAGCATGTTATTAAGATGGGTACCCCCAAAACGTAGCATAGGATACCTTCTAGCATTTAACAGGGAATCATACATTCAGAGAACATTGTGTTTAAAACCTTTGGCCGACTTTGAACCTCTTATCTGCCGCTTTCCTGATCGTTCTTGTTGCTTGGTGCCGAAAAGTGAGTCAAGTACTGGGTCATATATCACGCTCCCTGATAAGGACGCCGAGAATGTAGCGGTGAGCTCCTCTGAGTTCTTGACTCGCAAATCACAATGGACTCGTTGAGAAAGAACTACATAGCAGGTACTCCGTAGAGGAGAAAGGAAAGATCTCAAACAGGAGCCTCGTGATTTTGATTACAGGTGTATGAGTATCAAAGGAGGACTAAGGGAAGGAGAGGCAGCCCGCTTGGTGTACCGTGAGGAAGAGGGTTGGCCGCTGATGTAGCTTACAACCAGCCAGCGTCATATGGGCAAGGTCATGGTAACAGATGACTCAGCACTGGAGTAACTGATTAGTTCACTCAGTTAGTCAACTAATTGAATTAACTAAGAGTAAACGGGAAGTCAACTCAGACAAAACTAGTTACCTTGTGACTGATACCTAGCAAATATGAAGAAATTTCTTTCCGTCGGGCTTGAAATTAAGCCATCACCAGAGATACATACCTTCCGACAGTTTTGACCTCGGAACTGTAGCTTGAAATTAGCGTACGAGTGGGCTTCTCGATTTCCAGTTAGCCAGTCCCCACCATAGTAATAACCCACTACAATATTGCTAGTACGTAGTATTGATAGGCATTAACTTTTTAGTGCTAGTCCGGATCCGCAATACGGTGCCTAAGCACGCAAGTCCAAACAACGCGTTTTCCTCAAAGGTCCAACCCAAGCCAACGAAAACATCCATCCTAGGCAATCTCACGATTTCTGATCCGCGATCGCAAGGGAAAGTTTTCTAATTGTGCGTCGCAATCTTAGCTGACGGCCCCCAAAGAACCAAACCTTGGATGGGCTTCCCAACAGCTGGGGCTGGAGTATGACCTCACGAGTCTGATCTGCCGGACATCATAGAACCTCAGAAACAAGCTCCTCTACTTGATCATAGAGCTGCGTCGCTCTATTATACTCATGTCACAGCCATGGGACTACATCGCTAAGCTCGTCTGCATTGGCGACTCTGGAACTGGGAAATCCAGCGTGAGTTTCAAGGACAGTGACCTCAGCTAGGATGGCTCTGACAGACAGTACCCTATCTAGTTAACAATTCGACTCTGTGAAGGTCGCTTCTCATCCTCCCACGATGTCACGATCGGCGTGGAGTTTGGTTCGCGCATCGTCCCAGTTGGCCCGCCCGCATCAAAAAGTCTTGAACTGAGACTAGACTCCCATGCTCGAAGATCTCCAACATCATCGTCTGTTTCGTCACCTCCTTCCCAGACATCCGCCGCTGCTTCGGGACAATCTGCTGTCACTGGACTGCCCAGTCCTCCGCGCAAGGTCGTCGAGTGTCAAAAGAGAATGAAACTCTCTCTCTGGGATACGGCTGGTCAAGAAACATACAAATCCATAACCCGTTCTTACTTCCGCGGTGCTTCTGGTGCACTTTTAGTCTTCGACATCACCAGGCCTTCCACTTTCTTATCTTGTACACAGTGGCTTCAGGATCTACGGCAAATCGCCGAAGACGGAATTGTGATTATTTTGGTTGGAAACAAGAGCGATCTGGCAGATGACGGTTCGACCTCGAATCAGAGAAGGGTGACCAGGCAGGAAGCCGAAGAGTGGTGCCGCCAGAATAATGTTGCAAATTATGTTGAAACTAGTGCAAAATCTGGCGATAACGTCGAATGTGCGTTTCTCGAGGTAGCTGACATGATCTACCACAATATTGAAGCCGGTAAATACGACCTACACGATCGCCGCAGCGGCGTCAAGGGCTTTGGCGCTACCGGTGGACCGAATCGTGGCGCCCCTAGGACCGTTACCCTGGGCCTGAACGATGCAATGCGCACCAGTGGAAATGGTGTCGTTGGTGGTTGTTGCTAATGGCTATACGGGTACCATCTGGACAACCAACTAGGCGGGTCGTGTGACTTACACAATAAAAGCTCATTCTCACACCTGACTATTCTAATTTCTAAACAAGCAGGGGAAAGTAGCTCAGCCACGTATTCTACATGTCTGGCAAACTACATCCACAAACAAAAGAACAGATTGCTCAAGGATCTCCAAGAGACCTGAGACGGAAGGAGGCTTCTCCCATGAATTGTGGTTAAATACAACATAGATTCGGTTGCTCAAGTAAATGAGCAGGCGCCCTGGTGGACATGTTAAATCAAAAAATGGAGCAATGGAGCAGGCCAGTAGGTCCTAGGAAGAAGGTCGACATTCTGGTGTGATCGGAATATTGAACCTCAATTACCAATTTTCCACCCACTCAGCCAGTTTAGATGCTTCCAATTCTGGCTTGGGCCCTCAATACCAAATACCACAACACGGAAGTATAAGAACAACCCGAATATCACAATATACAGCACTGTGTATAATACCACGCGTAACTTATCACTGGCCGTCCGAGTGAACCAATCGACACAGAACCCAAATGTAAGTATGGCGTAATACAGAGCCGGATAGTAATGATGGACATAGGTCACCCGTGCCATAACCACGAAAGGTAAGTAATGCAGGATCCACCCCACAACCGGATATAATCCTGAGTAATGTATATGGTCAATTTCAGCTTGTGTGAGCTCATTGTAGCCTCGCTGCCAGCGCACAAGGTACCAGAGAACTAGAAGTCCGAAGGCAGCGAGACTGGCACTACTGCCCCAGTATACGAAAGGGTTTCCTAGAAGATAGTATTTGACAGTGGTATCATCCCAGGAACACATGCGGAGACCAACGTTCAAAATTGGCCACTGCCAAAACTTTGAGGCGAGATCGTCCTGCTTGTCTGGATCAGGAACCAGGGCGTTGTTGGATGTCATCATGGCGACATTCAAATGAATGAAGTCTTTCCAAAATGGCGACTTGTAAGAACCAGGATCTCCCGGTGGAACTAAAATAAGAGTGAGTAAACTGAGCGCCACGATGGGCAGATGACAGAAAAGGGGGACAGTGCTTACGTCTCTCGTTGTAATGGGACTCGACATTCCAGTGCGTATACACATCATTGGGCTTATTTTCCTTGACACAGGTAGTTTCGATCTGCTTGAAACCCCACTGTGGGAGATTCACATTTCCAGCCCTCAGGTAGCAACCTAGGACAGGGTGCTTCAGGCGAAACGCCGTGGTAAGGGTTCGGACTCTACTCCTGTCCTTGGAAGCGACATCGTCAACAACTTCAATTGCCCAATGATCTTTGTCGTCTCCAATAGTAATGTTGCCATAGCAGGATACTTCGTAGTGGCCTTTAGTTACTGGCGCTGGGATCGCATGCGAGTGTAGATTTCGGCCTGTTTGCCCATGAATTAAGCGCACCACATCGCCGTCGCCGATAAACCTCAGTGGGCCATTGGCATCATACTCCATATCCTGTCGATTGGGGTAGATAAACCAGTCATTGTTCGCGTCTTTATGGTGGTAACATGTGACTTGCTGTTGAGCAGATCCTTCAGGATAAGTTTGAACATGCGAATGCAACAGGCCACCACCGTAGCCCATGTTCTTCAGGGTAACCCTCGAGCCAAAAGCAACTTCAAGAGGACTGTCCTGCCCAACTTCAGTCCCCTTAAGATTTGCCTGGAAGAGTGAACTCATTTGGGCGTCACCAGGGCCACTATTTTCCAAGATCCAAAAATGGGCGTAGAACGAGAGAATGTAGACGATACATGGCAGAAGTATCAAGCCTGCAATGCGAGCCAGCAAGTGGTTCGCTAACACAGCCTGTCATTTTTTAGCAACAATCTTGGTCATTAAATATACCATAACGTACCCTTCGCATCTTCACGTCGCCGAATTTGTTCCATAGGTCTTCAACTGTATACAGCCCGACGATCGCTGTGCAAAAAAATCCAACCCATTTGACGCTGCAGACACAGCCAATGCTAACGCCGGTGAGGAAAAGCCATGTGAACCATTCGAGGGAAAAACTATTCGCCTGCAATCGATGGAACTTCGCCCAGCATAGAGTGGTTGTGAAAGTGAAACATAGTAGCATAGAATCGAGTAGAATGAACCTTGAGATTGTCGCATACGAGTTCTCAAATAGTACCATCAAGCTGATAAGCCACACAGTGGCTCGGCGAAAACCGAGCTCGCGAGCGGTAAAATATGCCAAAGGGACGCAAGCTGCACCAAAGGCAGCATTGAATACACGCATGAAGGTGTAATTGACATCCTGAGGGTATTGTTCTCCGGACTTAAACTCGAAGGAGCCGTTGTAGCCAGCGAGATACCCGGATAGTCCGACCAGCATCTTGCCTAACGGGGGGTGGACATCGAAGTAGAATTCGCGCTTCAGATAATGGGACCCAAATTTGCCAAAACTAGATAGCAATGAGCAACGGATTAGCCCAGTGGTGTACATACTTTTCCAGAACAGTGTCATTCTTACTGCGCTTCATCCCACGTGACAATGTTCGAACGTCCAATGCGATACATGCGAGTGAAAATAGACATTACTGTGAGCAGCAACGGTGCGATGATAGGCTCCCAGTAGGCTATGTCAGAATCCGGTCGAGGCTACACCTCATAGAACGTATGTGAGCTGCATTTCAATACCACCTGTTGACAGTGTATATTTGGCAGACAGTAGATGATGCTCACCTTGTATTTCACTTCCATCGCAGCATTGTGATTTTGATCTGATGTAACATTCGGCTTCCCCCCACGTGCAATCGTCCTGCGCCTTAAATCAGGTGTGAGATTTGCACCAGTGCTTGAGCCGGTTGTTTCGGCCATAGCTCAGAGAGATAGGGAAGAGAAAGAGTAAGAAAGACGTCTGTTGTAGCTTTTGTAGCTGAAAGTGAAAGGGACTGGATAGCACAGTCTTGAACTGGCACAATCTGGCACAGTGAACCTAGCGGAAATTGAGACTTGATTTCAAATGAAAGGGGTCATCTCTTGAAGTCCCGCGAGAAGCTTCATATGTCAGTAGAGAAAGACTGCGGAAGATGACTGTTTGAATAAATGTAAGGGGTTTAGATGAAGGATTTGCAGTGGCAGTGGGATGAGTTGTTTTCAGAATAATTCGACAAGGTAAGTAGGAAGATAACACGAAAAATAAAATGATTAGAGTTCTTGACAGAAGTGAACTGCAGGACCAAGAGAAGATTGAAGGAAATGGCGAGGGGCAAAGACAGGTATGGAAAAGGCGCAGCACATTCAGGTGAAAGTGAGAGTTGGCCTGGAGTTAACATGGAAAGCCCGGGCGCATGTTTGAATGGTTTCCGCCCCACTTGGGGGCTATTGAGGACAGCAGACCCAGACAACCCGGATCCATGATAAGCACATTACCTCATTAGTTGTTGACACTGAAGATGCGATTCTATGGCGCATTGAGTTTGCCCCGATTCGCATACCTTACAAATGAGTTTTCATATATATGGCAGCTGCTTCTAGAGAAACATAAGGTTCCGCCAAGTACTACATATAAGTATAAAGATGGGTTATATCTCACGAGCACATTACATCGTCATGCTGCTAGCTTGTATTTGAAACACAACGCGATAATTGTAGTCCGCGCTTCTATCCCAAAAAATTTCAGTATGAGGGCATCGGAACGAACACAAACACAAAACAACGACATCTAACAACGGAAAGAGGCAAAACATTCCCAGCGCAGGTTGCTTGAATAACAAACTAGGTCAATATTGCGCGCCTAAAGGCGAAAACACAATCGAGGCAGAAACGGGCAGCACCGCAGTTTCCTGCAGTGTAAGGGCACGTTAGCAATACAATGACTGACTGCCCTAGTCATTCTCCTCCTGCCCAAGGCGGCTATATTGATTGTTTTGTGCCGAAGACCTAGACTCCTTATGACGGGTTATCATATTGGAGATCCAACCGCCGAATCCCTCCGATCGACTAGCATGACCCTCTGGATTTACGGGCCTAACAGACTTATTATAGGCACTAGGGCTCATATTGGGCGGATCAATGTCCAATCCAGGAATCGCATTATCCGCTCCCAGAGGACCATATTGTCGCCTAATGTCGAGCGAAGGCACAGGTGAGCCGGCACTCATCAAGGAGCCACGTTCCGCCTGGGTTGCTGGAGTCGGCATAGAGGTCGTCGCATCGCCGAACAAAGTATCCATATCCTCCAACCGGACACCACTTGTCTCCGGATATAGGAAATACACTAAATGATAATTGTCAGGTAGGCCGTGACTGTGCGAGAAATTACAAGGGTGTACTGACCTAACACAAAGCTGCATGCACAGAAGAAAGCATGGACCAGGTAGAGACGCCACTTGATTGCGGCTTGGAGGACGGGTGTGATTTCCCCAACCAGCCAATTGAAGGCCCAATTTGCCGCAGTGCTAAGACTCGCGCCCTTTGCACGGATGCTTAAGGGCAAAATTTCGGGGGGGTAGAGCCACGGTATAGGTCCCCAAGATGCGCCAAAGGCAGCATTGTATATCATGACAAAGATGACCGTGAGCGTTGGTGTTGCTGCAACATCTATATAGATGAAATACGAGATCAAAGACAAGGACACAATCATAGCCACTGCCCCTGAGAGAAGAATTGGCCGTCTTCCCCACCGGTCGACAAGATACCACGGAGGAACCGTAGAAGCAAGATAGGATATGGCGTTTATGCCGGTCATTAGAATAGCATCACGGCCAGCCCACCCTGCAGATTCAAAAACGAGTGGGGCGTAGTAAGAGATGACGTTGATTCCGTTCAGCTGAGCCAATGCCTGTGCTGACATTGCAATCAATACCCGTCTATAGTAACGTTTGAACATGTCGCTGTAGGATCTCTCGCCCTCTTGCCGTTGAAGAAGAACATTCATCTTGATCTCTCTGTATTCTTGTCTGGCTTTGTCGTTGTGCAAATCACCCTTGCCATATAAGTTCGCTATAACGACCATACCTTCCTCGTCAAAATCGTTATCTAGTAGCCACCTGATCTGCTGTAAGATATGTACCCAGTGAACACATGTGACTGATTATAAAACACTTACCTGGGAGATTCGCAGATGATCAGACTACCCACACCAAGCAAAGCACCCATGATGCATTGACAGAGCAGAGGGAGGCGCCAGGAGTAATTACTATCTATGAAGCTGCAGAAATAGTCAACCCAAACACTTGCAGCGTAGCCGGAAATATTTCCCGTGAATTCAATGCATGCTAGCTTTCCACGGTTATGGGGGGGCTATTTGAGACAGTGTCAATATAAACCGTGCAATCGCTTGGGTTGGGCCAGTGGAAATATTTACCGAGATCTCGGACTGATAAACGGGCACGATGGTAGAGAGTGCTCCAACCCCTAACCCTGCAATGATACGGCCGACCATCATCATAGGCAGACCAGTCGCAAATGCCTGGAACGCGCCACCAACGAAGAAGACGATTGAACCATAAAGTATCGTTTTGCGACGCCCGATCAGATCGCCAACTCGCCCAACAAGTAGGGATGAAACGAATGCTCCAACTTCTAGAATCGCAACAACAGTGCCAATCGCAGCTCGTGATGGTTGATTGAAGTAATCCTTGAAATACCAACCCCTAAGATTCATCAGCTATCGTCATCTGAATCTGGCATTGCTGAGCATGAAACACATACGTTATGATGCCAGACATCACTCCTTGGTCATAGCCGAAGAGAAAGACGCCTAAAGATACAAAAACACTCGTGAAATACCTACATGACGTCAGCTCAGCGCATAGGAATAGTTTGTCACTCAATCTGAGTTGGCCTTACAGCAATGGTTTGCCAACCAGGCCATGCATCTGGGCATTTTGTCGATTGTTTGGGGACATTATCGTTGCTAAGATGCGTTCTGCACGTGAAATCCGCCTGGGCAGTGGCTGAGGTATCTCAATCGATGTCTTCTCGGTTGCGAGACTGCCAATGTATGGCTGGTGTAGTATGCGGATACGCTTTGGCTGTTTGGGTCGGTCCTGGGAGCCAATTGGGTACGATGTATCTAGTTCTGGTCGGTTTGAAAGGTTAGTCTGTAGTGGATGCTCTGCATCAGCCGGCTGTTCGGCCAAATCTCCACTGTCAGTCCAGACAAACTCTGAGTTAGCCGATGATAGCGAAGAACGCCGTCGACTTTCCCCCTCAGCCGCCGACTGCCCTACGTCGCCTGACGCAGCACTTGAAATTCGCGTTTGAGAATGTAGGTGCCGCAAGGGTATGCTCGAAGAAGTATGCCGTCGAGATGTTTGAGAAGGAATGTTGGCGGTGATGATGGGCTGGACGTGACAGCCCTTTACCCCCGGAACGATTTCAGTCCTCTTCTCTATTTTATGATATAATTGACCGGTTTCCTTGACCACCCCAATCAAGGATAAAAAAGAACGGTATCAAGCTAAGCCCACAAACTAGCTGTGCACCAGCCGTGGTTCGCCTGTTGGAAAAAGGGGTTTAGAAGGCGACGCCTGGAGTAGGGCACAACCGTCAATTCGCAGGTGGAGGTTAGAGTAACGAGGCACTGCACCGGGACTGAAGGGGCACGCCAGAGCGAGGAACATTCAAATTGAGCGAAAGTGTGCAGCAAAAGACAAGTGCATGGAAAAGTACTGTGGGCGGAGAGCGGTGATGCACTGATTGACACTGGTCATAAGGCCGCTCACGAGACAGTTACCAACTTGGTTGGTCGACGCAGGATGACGGAGTCCGGAGCCTGACAGCCGAGAATGGTAAGATAGCACGGAATGATGGCACGAGATCAGAGGGGGTAAATTAAACACAAGATTTTGCAAATAAGGAGCATACTAGCCTCACTGAGCACATCGATTATCATTATACCATAGAAATCCCAAGGCTACTATGGTAGAAATTCAACGGCTGTTATGTGTACAGTATGTGTACGTACTGTACCTATTGTCTGAAAGGTGGAGGGAACCCCGCAAGCCAGTCCGCCAGACCTGGATGAGTGGACCCCAGCGTGAATGGACAAGTCGGTAAACGCGGCTAGTCTAGGCCGATGTCTACCCGTTAGAAGTGCGGTAACTAGTCTACCCGCTCGTTTGCCCAGAGTACTCAGTAATTACCTATAATATGCATATTTTTGTCCCAAGTTAGTTTCCACCGACAGCGCAATACGTCGATACTCATCGATGCAACACCCCCCCCCTTAATCAACGTTGGTCATCTCTATTCTGCAAATGATTATACCTTTAATTATAATAGAAATTCCGAATCAATTCTACTTCTGTTCACTAAATATCGGAAATACGATTTGAATACCAGTTTTTTATTCCTAGATTCATCTATTATGTAGCTTGGTGGGAACCTACAATTCTAGGTGATTCTAGTTTTATACTGTGGAAAAGGGCTCTAGTCAAGGAAGACTTACTTTTTTAATTACTCTACAGTAGAAAAATAGCTCGGTGTTTATGTTGATAGTTGATCTATTATTTCATGGATTTATAAACTACTTCTGATTTTATTTATGATTGAGTGCCCAGCTACTGACATATCTGCGCAGGATGGTATGGCAGAACACTGCCGAGGCTGGGTGGCAGAAAGTCACAGGGTCACCGGTAGTGACAATAACAAGTAATCTACCGAGTACAATACTTTAATTTAAAATCCAATAAGTAATATCTATGTCATGTAAGATCTAAAAACAGTATATTTAAAGCTATTCCTATGTAGTTTTATAAGCTACTTAAGCATTATCTTACACATAAAGAGATGTATAAAATTCAAGTTTCTACTAAGACATTACGGACTATTGTACACCGAGTATTATTCTCAAATTGTATTTATAATAGTTATATAGTTAGTT